GTAAGGATTTGTTTAACCTCCTCTACGGATTCTTAACACGGCTATCTAGAATTGGTGGGATATCTCACAAAATTTGCTACCAATTTACCGTTTCACAACATACAGATGTTGACCAAGTCCTGACTTTCGACAGAGTTGTTCATCCCCACGATTACGATTTTGAGCCTCATTCACGGGGGATTGAATATGATATCACGCGACTTTAGACGCAACACGGTTTTGCCTCTGTTAATCGAATACCACTGAAAAATACAATTAATTGATTTCGACAACGGTTGCTGGTGCACCAGTTGTAAAATAAAGAAGCGTCGGTGGAAAACAGCATTGGAATTTATTTGTCAAAATGACCCATAGACTTAATATAGATATCGTACCTTCATTTTGTCAGTGTTCTATTTCCCTTCTTAATTGCCAATCAGTGCATCCAGTCGTTTTCTTTTTGGCATGAAGGAGAAGTAAGTTGATTGCAAAACAGAATTTGCCAGTTTCCTCTAATAAATGCCGCACCTTGGATACTGACGACCAATGTCGAGATGTCCAACTTGTCCCTGTTTGCGAAATGAAAGTCATACCACACGAGTTCGATCAATACTTGTACAAAATCGTGTCACTCGTTGTCTACAAAGATAATGTACAACATTGCGCATCCGTTTCAAGCAGATCTAATCATCCATACATCCTCTTCTTCCACCGATCCTAATTAAACTGCACATTGGCTCCCACTACTCCCCTATCGGTCTTCATGCTTGATTTCTTAGAAAACCAGAAATTACCAATTCCTAACTTAGCTCTACCTCGTGTGGAGAAGTACGTTTTCTTTTTTTGTTCTTTCGTCCTACCATTTTTGTTCAACTGATTGATTAGAACTGACCATTCTTCCAACTTCATCTTCAAACACACATCCCTCAGCGCTTCCACTCAACCATACACCCGGAATCAGCTTGCTCGGGATTGTTTAATTGGCTCCTGTTTGACTGAATGTCCACCTGTCCGAGTGAATAAAGCATACACTTGACTTGGAACGAATTGGTGGAGCATTCAATAGATTGGTCTGCAGAACGTTCTCATGAACAATTTGACATGTTCACTTCGCTATTTTTGTATCTGTTTGGCGTAAGAAGAACCTACTCAAATCCCTAGCTTCTCACACCAGAAATATATGCTCTGCGGAAAACTTGGCCCTATAATTGGATCGCTTAAGACAGACATTATTGAGCAATGGTTATCTCGAGAGACGCATTCAAAAGAATTTATGCGAAAAGATCAAATGACCAACATAGACAAAAATCGACCGAAAACAGCCCCACATACGTCTCCTGCTTAAAGTTGACTTTAAGTGTTGTTCGCAAACAAGACTCATTGATAAGATGATCTGTCGAACGTTTCCAATGACCTGTTTACGTAGATATTTTATCAGCCGATCAAGGTTGTTATTGAATCCTAAAGATAAACTGCCGATCTGCACTTCCTCCGTGTTGTCCTAATCTTTTGTTTGCTAATGTTCCACAGCAGTGAAGACAGTTGACGAATGCAGGCTGGAAGTCGAATTCTCCCAGTTAGGAACACTACGGTCAAACAAACTTCCGTCAGATCGTACCGATGAGCAAGTCAAGAACATAAGTGAAACCAGAACCAAGAGTTCTTCTACAAGTGTCGGAAGTAAAATACAAGCAACATGTCGGGGGTTATATCAGCCAACAGGGCTCAAGAATTGAAGACGATCATGTAGAATTTGGAATAAGAAGCATTCATTGAACACAGGGTAGAAAATAAACGACGAAATGTGTTGGGGTGATCCGGGCCTACAAGATGACGCCTACCCTGGAGCCGCGCGTTAGTTTTTGGACAAATGCGATCAATCAAACCTCACGGATGACATCAACAACGCGCGTACTTGTCACTGCTTCTGACCTCATACCATAGGCAGATCGTAGCAACCAATTAGTGTTCAGAGGAAGACTGGAACGCGATTGGTGGAAGCCCGGATAACCAATGAGCCTACTTTGTACATATTATTTAATCCCCTTTATTTCTTCTTATTCTTCTGTGGCCTTCTTCTTGTGTTTCAGTTACGTGGGATATTGCATGCTAGTGCCGGTGCGGTCCAGTGTTTGTGTGATCCAGTCCGTGAGAGCTGATCCTTGATTCGTATTCCGAGTTCAGTACGTATTACTAATACTACAATCACTACAGGTGTGTATATCAAATTAAACACGATGGATGGCACTGAGACGATAGCTGTACCCCACAGAGTCGTCATAAATCAAACTCCGGGTCAGNATCATCAAAAATCAAGCATTAAACCACCCAAGGTTGTCAAGTGGAGACAAATTCGTCCAAGTTCTCAGACGAGTTAGTTTTCACCGGAGAGGAGGAAAGTTCTGTGGTACTTCTTACATTTGTGGGTAGCATTGTTGACTGAATTCGATAGGCGTTATAGCTGAAATCAATTAGTTCTTTTAAGATAATTCCACGATACAAAGTAATACGAGTGGTTAAAGTTGAGGTATGATGTGCACAGCGGCTATTGTTAACCGCATTTAAAACGCTTTATTGTCCAATAAACTTAGCCAAATACCAGAAGGTGCCCAAAACGATGTACACTCGAAGTGCACTCAAACTTCTCGATTCACTTTCAAGAATCAGAACACCTTGATCGTAGTTATTCATTTATTGCTTACCAAAGCCACGATCAATCAGAAAGTGTGAAAATGTTTGATAAAAGGGCTATTAATAGGAAATGATTCGGGAATATCTTCAAGTTAGATAGGAAAAATAGAGCGGATATGCACCGCCATTAGTGTTATAATCCCACAAGTCTAGTACCAGTCGAGAGGAGTCATTCATTCGGAGAACAGCATCAGATAGAGGTGAATAGAATTTCACAGAACGAAACGTCTTATCTGGAACAGACCTGCATGACCCCAACAAGCACGAAGAACAATTGATGGAACAGTTCGACGGTAGACGTGCATTTTCTCCAGTTACAATTTTGAACACACAAATTTGTTCTTGGAGGTCTTTTTCATTTTGATCGTCAATCACATTCTTGTATGCGATTCGAACGTACTACTCACCAATGTGTGTAGTACCTCGCAACACACGAGCATCTATTTTTCCTCAGCGTATAATCAGTCAACTAGTTCAAGAACTTCGGAACACCGTTTCTGTATAATGCAGATCAGTGCTAAGCCGTGATGAGTTAAACTCCACTGTTCATTTGATATTTTAGCCTCTAATGACGTGGTTTGCATTGACCCATGTTTAGCACAATCTGCGAAATGCGTTCACATGTGTGTGTGTTTACTTTTGAGTGCCAGGTGAGAAAACCAAAACGAGAGAGAGGAAGATCATTCGTGGATTTCAATGTAGGTTTCTTCATTGGGTAGAACGATAACGGATGATTAAAGCACAGTGTGATCTACTGTTCCGTGATGTACACAGCAATTATCCAGGTTATTACATTTCCATCAGATTAACCAGCTACAATGGGAATTTTTCAACCCACAGCCCGACCCTCCCATGTCATGTATTTTATTCGGGTTCATTGTTATCGCTTGGCTCATCCATCCACCCCTCTTGTACTTTCGGTACTTCTGATCATCAAACCACGAGTACGATGAACAAACTGCCCTATTTAAACGGCTGCAATAGAATTAATGAATAGTACTTCGAAGCACAGTACTTAAATACGGGTCTATGAATCGTGTTTTACGTTATGACAATATGATGATAAGCTAGAAGTTTGTAGAAAATTGCAACTGCATATTTGGGAATACACATGAATAGAGAACAATGTCGAACAGAGCAAGGACAACAGTAATTTAGTTTCACTCACTGGGTTTGCAAATATACTTTGTAGCATCAATAAATGTATTTGCATACTGAATGAATCCTACATTGGATAAAGAGTACGGCATGTTTAACGCGAAATTTCTTTCTGATTCTATGTGAGGAATATCAGACAGCTAAAATCAGCTCATGTGTTCTAGTTTCTGCATTTTATTTTATGAATCGCATAATTTGTTTGATCAGAAGTAATTATTTCATTCAGCAGACTTGTCCTTTTTCTCAACTCTGTCCGCATGTCCATCTAATCTCGATCGATCGACCCAACGGGAACACAACTGCCATTAGCAGATTGGTTGGTTTAAAAAAGCACAGCCACGTGACCCTTTAAAACCTGCAAAATAACCGACAGAGCACAAGAGGATGCACCTGTACAAGAAATGTGAATTTGTGCTTAGTTACACATCAAGTCTTTGAATCAGTGCCTCATTTTTAACCTTGAACACCGATGACATGAACCGTACAAATAGGGTGAGAAATATGCGTATACTTCGTCAAACATTGGTCACATCAAAGGCCATCTACAAGTATGGTAACGGATTGGTGAAACAAACCGAACTAAGCCGTAATAGAATCGCAGTGAGGAACACAACTTCCGATACACATAACAACAACCAGTGGAAGAACACAAACAATGCTGTTCAAGTTCTCGTGCCGGAAAGGACCTGTTCGAAAGCCACGTCGAACGAATCGCCGTTCGTGCAGACCGGGTATTCCGATCAGAGTGCCGTTAATTCTCAGTCACTCGCAGAACACTCAACCACAGGACTTGGTTATTCAAACTACAGTTCAGACTCCAGTGATGATGTCGATTTGGGTTCCACTGTAGTCGATCAAGCGCAACAGCCTGCGAACGTGGATAAATCGCCAGAAAATCATAGTGAGCATGTGAGCCATGAACAAAACGAAATAGCCCAAGATCCCGTACCAGAAAACATGGAGAACACCGAATTCGATGGTGATGTTGTTGCCCATAATGACACGATTCAATTGGCTCCATTGGAACCACTGAAAGATTCTTTTAACAAAAAGCCGACACGCAGTATGCCATTGGGTCAAAGAGTTAAACATGCTTGGTTATTTGCAAAACGTTCATTGAAAAATGATGATACTTTTGGAAATAAAAAACTCTCATCGGAACACTTGTCTTCATCACCACCAATACAGTCCAATGCGACAGAAAATAAAGGGGATCAATTACGAACACCCGTGGGACATTTACAACCGTGGCCTATAGCCGGTAGATCACAGCTGAAGACACAGCGCAGTCGTAGTTCAGAGGACGTACCATTGGTTTCCTCGGAAATGTTGCTCAGAAGTCATACCGAATCACTCATGCATAGTCTGAAGGAGGCCACATTACAACTAGCTCGAAGGGACATGGAAATGCAGCGACTACTGGCAGTGAACGGTCAACTTGGGGAAAGATACTGTCGAATACGAAATCAATACACGGAACTGGCTCGAGAACAGGCTCGGTTAAGACAGCGATACGATTTGCTCTTGGTCAAGGGAATGGATCGGGAACAGGTGAGTTGGAATAAACATACGGTTTGCCGAATCTAACTACACCCGTTTGGATCACTATTCTTTTCTCGATGGTTCCTCAAAACTTCTGCGCTAAACAAAAATCTCTGTTTAAACTTTGTGCTATTCGATTAGGTTGGATTATTGTAGTGTACCGCATTCTGGGAAATCCAGTTGTATTCACTTCAATCATCGGCCTTAAACGTTCTTTATATACATATATTTATATGTACATATGTATGTATATATTTGCCACACAAACAATGATGTATTATCATAACTAGAAGGTGAAACGCTCACCGATCGGTATCGATTGCCTGAACGTGCTTATGTGCCACAGCAACGTAGTAGCTGGAACAGCACTTTATGAAACAGACGAAGAGGATTTGGGTTGAACCTAGCTCGGAGTCAAACATTAGACCTGATGGGACAGCGTGTCGCCTAATTCAGGAGTAACCAACTGTTTAGTCCAGAGAAGTACTTGCGCGTCCCTGTGGTTATGTAACCAATCGACTATCAGAGAAGACATCTCAACTTTTGTTTCAATTCGATTCAAAGAAGGATCCCTGGAAAAAACAACTAACCGTTAAGATCAGCTGCGCCTTGCATATCTGGTCAATGCCAATAACGCATTACAACCATCCAGCTGACAATAGACACTATCAGAATATACTCATAAATTTATCCCATTCGTCTTATAACCAAAGCTTTGACACTGAAATAGGTGAAAAATATTTGGTGAATAGTTAACGATTTACATCTCAATGAAGAATAACCGTAGTTGGCAAATCGAAAACAACTCTGATTGGAAAATGTTGGCTATATTCTCACTATCTTAAATATCATGCCAGTGTTTGATTGAGTTGGAGTTTCCTTTTCAAAATAAAGAAAAATAGATTTGAGCAAAAGTCATCTTGTTTAGTTAAGTTAATCAATTGATATGTTCGTATGCAAGCTACCAATACTAGTCGAAATAAAAATACGTAGAATAAAACAAGAGCACAGAATCACTGAAGTAAAAAAGGATGTATGGTTGAAGAACGGAAGTGATATGCGCTTGTAGTTACACCCAACACAATCCTATCATGTTTTCAAAATTTTAGAACACGTCTGCTCAAACCGAATCAGCGTTCACTCAACCGCCGAGGGAGGGAACGAATTTATAACGACACAAAAGATGACCCCAATTGATAAAGCTGAATCCAAGTGTTCTGTGATGTCCCAATAGTCTCAATAGGCTGCTCCTATTCAGTTGTTCTATCACTTCATCTGATCAGGCAATTTTTCGGACGATAATGAAGGAAGTTGGTCAAACATGGACAGTTGATTGCAAAACCTGTTTAGAGAACGATTACAACATAACTGGTCATTCATTCGGAAGTGAAAAACATTTTTACGTAGTCTAATTTTTAAACTTTCCGCCCTGATGAATTCATCTCCAATGTTCGCAGATGATACCGGAGCAGCTTTAAAACTCAATTTCATGATAAAATGAAGTATGAAGGTGGAGAAGCAATTTGCCGTGATCTCTTTATATGTTGACCNGTTGACCAATACACGTATGTATTCGGTCCGATTTATTCATTCTAAATGCCCAGAATGCAACAGATGAGAGTGCCAGTTTTGGGTAATTTCAGGATGCTGCCTATGAGCCAAACAGATTCGCTGCGTATTTAGTTCACTGAATAAAGGTTTGGTAGCAGATGAATCGGATTGCGTAAATTTTCCCTTTCGANAACAGATAATATACATATATAGTACATTATATATATATAACTGCCTTTGTGAAGACTATGTACCAAACAGATTTTATAACACATAAAACTCCACAAAATGAATGGAAATTAGTTTAGGATGTTTGAAATAGAAAGAATAAATGAGAACTACGCGGTCAAAAAACAATTAATTATTGGGCATTCCAGTATACAAATTATTTGACTTGTTTGTTGGCAGGTTTCATTAGAATGCACGCAAAGTTTATACAAATCCTTCTTTTCCACTCAGTTTATAACGACCAGTATGCCTCTTGCTCACATTCCCACCACTCTTAACACAAGCCTATTCTGTCCTCCATGGCTTTTCCTTCATTCGGAACCAGCTCTGGCAAGGGATAGCCGCTGCTCGGTCACTAAAGCAAGGTTCAACCTCTTTCTTGTCGTTAAATCAGGGCAGAATACAACGTTTAATTACCGAACATTCGTGGCTTATTAAAAATATACAAACAATTTGTGGAAAGTCCAACGCTTCACCTATGCTTATACATCTAAAAACCAATCGCAGAAATATAAACTGTCATAAAGTAAAACCAATTATGTGCTTACCATTTGTTCTTGTGAATGTCAGATACGAACGGTCGAGGCAGCCAATCAGCCGTAAAACCCACTCCTTAAATCACGAAATATATTAGCATCAACTCAACAGATTTGTACCAGCAAATTCAATTTGATCAGTTCAGAATAGTGGATTAAACCGATTGGCATCTGACAACGTTCCTGGTGAGAATATTTTGTGAATGGTGTGCATTAAATTAGCTTTAGTGCTTTCACCGATGATTCCAGCCTGAATTCCTACCTCGCTATTCTCAAATTCTTCATATCACTACCCTGTTTCAAATTAGTTTCAAATTTTAGTTACTTTTCTCAAACACCCTGTCTATAGATGATTTATGGGACCACTCCCTTGAACTGGTCTCATTAGCCATTGAATGACAGCAGACAACATTAATGTATTTTCTATATGTATACATTTACTACTCGTGAGTAACAAGACATGAAGTTGGATATTGTTCCTTGTTTTGTTACTTCGCCTTATTCCTAAAAGATAAATTAGCAAGTTACGGTTTACAGTTCGATTGAATAATAAACCATATATATATATGTATATGTATATGTTTCACACGTTTCTGGGTTCAAACTGGGGGTGAAACAAATCAATTACTATATAACGTCTGAGAGAGACTCCAAAAATATTTGTTTATTCCGTTCAAATGCGATGGAAGTGTTTGTAATAATCAACAAAGAGCACTGGACAGCTGTTTCGTCTTGTTTGGAACTCGCCATTAATGCGTACTATTTTGTGTCCCTGTCAGGACCCTAACCGCGCACAGTCGGTTTGGGACTTCAAACTCTTATCCCTGAGCCACACGGTCGACGATTATCATCTTGTGCGAATGGCCCAATCAAACAGCTGTCCAGTGCTCTTTGTTGGTTATCACAAACACTTCCATCGCATTTGAATGCATTACCTCGTGGGGAGTTAACGATCTCCCAAGGAGTGACACCTAAATCCAAGACCATCAAGAGTGTCTGATACCTCTGAACAATCGAATGGGCTAATTCAAGCTTCATACTCTTAATTGATTGAGCCGACCGACTGAAATAACCAAGACAAAAAGTGATCGTAACCCTTAGAATATATAAATATAAAAGCTGTCATTGCTCAAAGGATTGCATGAACCTAGCGAACAAAAAAAGCCCAAACAACAACGAATCTCGGACTTGGTCGTAATCATGATTTCATAGATTGGGATGAGACTGCCCCATGTGAAGCACTTCTGCAGCAATCTTCCATACATTTACCTTTGCATGCCAAAATAATTAATAATAGTAAAAATAGATATTGATTTGGGCTGACCATCTTACAAACCCCAACTTCGCACGTGGTCTGCAAATCATCCAGTCAAACATACTCTCTCGAAGTACTAATCGACTCGAGTTTCGTTCTACTTGGAGCTCATCAGTAGTACATGCCAATAAAGAGTAAAATTCGAGCGCAGCAGTGCTTTCAGAATGCATGTTTTACTGACTGAACCGATAATTTTGGGTGCAGAAGTGTTCTGGGATATTATCATTTCAAATCAACAACATTCATTCCAAGCCACAACTCAAAAGTACTTATCTGAATCGTCCCACTGTACTAAAGAGTTACCTAATCGTTCTTGTGCTTAACCATTCTGGATGGTGTTCATGAATTCCTGCTGACGAAGGTCTTACCGTGTGGCCTATTTACGTTGCTCCACGGGATCATACAAATGATCACACTTAAAAAGAGACAGCAGAATCCGGCATTTTGTTCTTCAGTCTTAAGCACATAAATGGCTTGAATGTTAACTAACTATTTCATTCTACTGCCTAGAAGATCTTACTAACAGTATCGGATGGTCTCTTTTGTAATTCCTCTACCGATGTATCCCCCTTGAACTGCAAGGCAATGCATATCGACTTCATACTGACCGCAGTATTTATTGCACTGAATCATTTTATTCACCAGCCCATCTGGATAACCGTTTTGTGAGAAGATGGTTCATAAGAACTGGTGCTCCACTTTTATTGTGTCTTCGCTCTATCTCTATCAGTTGGACAGATCACCAAATACTTTTTTCATTTTGAGTGATACAAAACTGCGAAAATTGATGTATTGGCTCTTCCACCTTCTCATTGGTTCTTCACCTACTCATGCATTGATCGTTGCAATGAGCTATCCGATCTACGACTCAGACAGACTTCCGCAAATACCAGTTCGTTGTTGCTTTCCATTTCCAAAATGACTTTGATGTTCCAGTGAACCTCACTGAACAGGCTTCATAGGTGATTTGTTCCTGATATCGTTTTGATCATGCAAAGAATATCAGCCACGTATTGTTCACAGCACAATCCTGAATGGTCGTAGGGGTGATTTCAGGGCCACACCATCTTTTTGTCGATAGATCTGATCGTGGAACTTCAATTGGACGTTGTATGTGCATAAATAAAGGAGTTGTTTCATGTTCTTCAAAGGAGGACTCACCTCAACATTGTTACTTTGTACATAACTACTCAGGTGATCGTCGATTGGTTCTCAGACTGGAACATTGCTGAAGAGCGAACTACCGTTCGGGGTAAGCATTGTTCGATCAGTCAAGCTTAAGTCACGAATGTTGTTCCTAAAAGTGAATGTCTCGCTAATCCAATTCGTACCAGGTCTAGTAATTTAGTCAACATTTTGCACTTGCATGATATGGTGATTTACACATCCAGAATCGGTAGAAATCAGTACTCTCTATATATATATATATATACAAATATATATATATATATATATATACAGATGCGAAAAGGTTTGAGCCATGAGGAACTAACTAATTCAAGAGGACAGAGTAGGTTGAACGAAAAATGGATTACCTTGACCGCTTGACCACGACCGTTGACAACCAACTGGAATGGGCTGTTCCACCAAAGTCGTAGCTAAGTCACTGAACCACGCTTGAACCCGACGAATGTTTAGAGTGCAGTATTTATAACAATAACAATAATAATGGTAGTAATCAATGAAGCACCATTGTCGACGTATTCCAAGTAGAGAGGTATTTGATCTCGATGACAGACGAAAATCGGGGCAAGTTATAAGCATTTCTGGGTAGTTGGAGGTTTTGCGAAGCTACATTCAGTATGGATTTGGTACATTCAAATTGCAAAATGTTGTCCCCACATTGGACTTGTTTAGCTTTCTTTCTCACTGTTACCGGCTAAATGATTGTAGTAGAAAAACGCGTTTATTTGGGCAACTCTGTCTAAACTGGTGAACAAGTCTGGAACGAAATGGCTGCACAGGAACAGAAGGTTTGGTCTGCATTTGCCAACTAGAAACTCTTTTGATACATTCCGGCAATCCGTGAAGGGTTGAGTTTAGGTAATAGCTATCTGACCGTTTCTCCTGTTGGGGGGAGAGGTCCGGTAATGATAGCTAGAAGGTAAATTCACAGCTTTCAGTATTCAAATGTTGCTATGTACGCCGCACTTCACGAGTCTCTGGAACTTACCAGAAAAGTACTGTTGAAGGTAAACGAAGAGTATAGACTAGTTGTGTTTAATCGCGAACGCAAGTGCTTGAGATCCGTAAATGGTGGAGGTCCGGAGGAGTGATAGACATGTCAACTTACAGGCTTTCTCGATATGTGTTAAACGAGACAGACAACAGGTGAATGATGACGAAGGGTAGTCAAACTGAGGCATGGAATTATGGCGTGAATATCTTGACCAGATGAATGGTTCTAGTAGCTCACTTAAGGTTTCCCACTTGGGGGCTTTGTGACCAAATTTATTATTAGTTGGCGACACTGAATGTCCTGAGTGCATCTCGTTGGTGGAGACTCCGCTGTTCTATCTGTTTCTCATGCACCTCTGCTTTATCTGCACCCTGTATCGTCACCTGTATATGATGGTTCTCAGCATTTTACCTCGTCATTTTATTGCTTCTTTAGTTGGAAGACAGCAATCAAACAAATTTAAGGCAAACTATACAATTAAAATTGAATTTATCCAGCTTTGAATAGCAGATTGGTGGAATTAACTGTACGGATGCAGTAGCAGCTTCATTGAAGAAATTTCACACAGATTTCACACCAAAACTGACCTGCTTCTGCTGATGCGCCTGCTCAGACCTTTGAATGAACCTGTCATCAATTAGAGATACCAGGGGACAGGAAGGCGGACCGACAGCGGTCGTGCTCGTGTAACCATTTTTTATCATCTTGGACCACTATAACATTTGCGTGGTATTATTGGGCTGCATATACTGTGCGCAATAAACGGAGTTATAAAAAGAAAAGAAAGAGAAAATATAAACCAATGACTGCATAAAATCAATCCAATTAGACATTCTCACTCAGCTGAACCGCGTTCAAATATGTGCACAATTTTTCGCCCAATATTTAAAGCTTCAACTACAAAACAAACATCTCGAGGCGCAATTGTCAGATTTACAAGCTCAGTTAGCCAAGGCCGAAGAACGAGCCAACCAATCCACACGTCGTCTGGGTCGTGTCGAGGCGGAAGCGAAAGATATTGTTCAAACAGTCAACAGTGCGGATTTACAATTGGCGAACTTACGAGCCGAACTGCACCGAAAAGAGGCACAAATTGCCGCGCTGTCGTGTCGACAAAGCCTGGACGCAACACGTGAGATGGAAGCACGTGCGATTTTGAATGAACTTATCGAATTGAAAGGTAACATACGAGTCATAATTAGGTGAGTATGTTGGATCTGGTTGAATGTGAGCGCGTTTTGCTTAGTTTCTGAATTGCACAGTACACCAGTACAGCACAGTGAATGTGGGAATTAAGAACACACATGGAACCTAATATAATTTTTGTGAATTCATTCCTAAATCTGCATAACCACGTATGCGAAACAGGAATCTTTGTGATAACTGAAAAACAGAACTGGATAACTATTTCTCCGCCTATATGTAACTGGTTGGTAGTGCGTACTTTTTAGTCCTTGACGGGACTTGAACCTCATACGTTCGGGTTGCGAGTTCAAATGCTCACTCCGAATTTGCTCAAAGTGTGGATCATTAACGTTGTGACTGCAATATTCATTAGTTCAAACTAAGCAATAAGGTTAATGAAAACAAAATGGAACCAGGAGTGGTGAATAAGCTCGTTTTCAGTGATTCGTAGTCATACCAAATACATCACAATACATATCACGCTGTTTATGTATGTGGCAATATTCAAACATATAAACCAATCAATTGCTTTTGGAAAAGGAAAATAGCAGCACAGGTTAACTGGGGCTAATTTGGTCTTAGGAAAGGACGTGGGAAACTCAATGATCACGTAATTGTTAGATCATCTGATCGTTGGAACCATTCGGGATATGGGGTGTGTGGGGAGTGGGCCAAGGGAAGCTTTAGCGCTTGCGCAAATTGTTTTGGGCCCGCAAAGGGGGGGGGTCGAGCAGCCGAATTCCTACCGCTTCCGCTGTAGTCAGCATACGACAGCGAACCTGCCTTGGTAGTCGACCATGAGCCCGATACAGTGGACAGAATGTCTCGGTCACATTCCCAATGTGATTTGTTTCAACTAGGTGTGAAACCACTGCACTAGTGAGTGACCTGATCGTTCCTGTATTTAGCCATGCGGAGTGGTGGTCAGGGATTCGTTCGGACAAACGCCTGACCTTGCGGCCCATGTACGTTGTTCCACAAGAACATGTAAATGAGACAAAATTAGCCCCCATTAACCTATGATATTATTTTCTCTTTCAAAAATCCAATGGGTGCTTCTTTATGTTTGAATATTGCTACATGTATTAATAGCGTGATATGTATTGTGAGGTATTTGGCATGACTACGAATCACTGAAAACGAGCTTATTCGCCACTCATTGTTCTATTTGGAATGCGCTCTGTGGGACTATTTAGACAATTAAAGAAAACAAAATTGTTCCCTATCGTAATCAGACTAACATCCATTTTATTTAATTCGAAAAATCAGTGATCGAGATCACTTTGTTGTTGTTGTTGTTCTGTTACGTTCAAATCCAGTAGCCCAGTCTGTGCTCGGTCCCTCGATTTTTGTAGATGTCATGAGAAGCCAAATGAAGAGAGCATGTTTCGCTTCGTCGGAGATGACACGATTGGGCTGAAGCATTCAATCGGTGGAGTTGCATCGAACCGATCTGTGCCTCATCTGTTCAAAGCATACCGTGTTTTTCCACCGGGATCAACTCAACGAGCTGTGTTTGATGAACTGAGCGAACTGATAACCTCTTGTGTGGACGGGTCAGTCAAAACGGTCCCAGTAAACCATCCTTGAAAAATGAAACCACGAATTGTAATTACAGTGATATTAAGTTTCCTTTTCGATTTGTTTCAAGCGATTCTCATCGTTAAGGTGAGCTGGAAATGTTTAAGATACTCATATAACTATTGTGATTGGTAGCTCAATGGTTACTAGATCGCAGAAAAAACTCAATAGGTTATGTAATACACATTTCAAACCTCTCCTCCTCGAACATGTGCGACCTGGAAAGTGGTTCAATGTTTGTGGACATTCCAATCGAGATTTTGCATTATGTCATCAGAGACAAAATGTGCCGTTTCAGC